TATAACTGTTGTTTCAAGTGCAACTTACTTATCAGGCTCTTTGCCATACAAAGTTACTCCAATTTTAACCATAACCCAGTGATACTTTTCTCATTTACCACATCCTGAAAATTTTGATTTGAAAGATGAAGATGTATCTATGATAGGGCTTTTCGATCCTTACATTACTTCTCCTCTGCAATCATTGTTGCAGGCATTCTATTTATATCCAACAAAGTATCATCAAGATCCAATTGAGCAAGAATCCCTCGCATCTTGATCTGCCACAAAGAGAATCTATCGTTGTGATCCAAAAGCGGAATATAAAATTTCATAGTTGACGTCCTTGAAACAATGACCTTGTTTCCTAAAAAATTCAACATTATTTCCTAAAAAAAAAAATCAGCATTATTTTAAGGGTACGTTTAGTATACGGTATTGAACGAATATAAGTGGATGGCACAAATTCTAAGATATTAATTTCTTTTTTCTTCGTTTAATGTTATTCTCTACACTCTAGTGAATAAATCCGTAATAAGCTTGAAAATGAAGTGAGAAGTTCATGTCGTTTTTGGTTAAATTATTAAATGAGTCCAATAATTCATTTTTGACATCTCATTCGCGAGTTATATTAGTAAAAACGTTTTAAATATTCTGGTTCACCGTCAAAATTGGTCAATTCACCTTAAAATCGGTTGATTCATACTTTTTAAAGATAAGAAATTTTGCTTTAATTCATTTATTTGACTAGCAGTTCGATCATATGATTGATCATCGAAAGCATGCAATGGAGGAAGAAGACAGTTTGAAATTGAATACTTTTAGGCAAGGATACATCTATCTCACTTTGTTCAAGATTTTATTGTGCTTTATATAATATGAATGCATTTAATTTTTTGGCTAGAATTCAATTTTCAAATTTTCAAAATCCAAATACCCCTTCACAAAAAACAAAGCCACCACCCATTCTGATAAATGAAAGCTAGAATTCAAACTTCAAAATCCAAATACCTCTTCAGAAATTCCACCCAATGAAAAAAAAATGAAAACCAAGAAAATGCAATTCCTTCTCATCATCCTCAACACTCCAGTGCAAAGAATCCACATGAATAGTTCTCAACATATTCCCTTCTCTCTCTCTAAACTCACCTTTTTGGGTTAAGTCATGAATTGATGCAATACAAAAAGAAGAGGGTGGCAGAATGCATTAAATAAGTTTTCTTCTCTTAAACTATAATGGAAAATGTTTCTTGTACATAATTATTTACATAATGTTTTAACTTTTACATAATGATGATGCGTCAAATGTAAATGGTGAAGATATTTGATTGATGAGATTTTGATCCAATTGAATCTCGCTACATCATTTTTTGGTAAACTATTATATAAGTTGTTATTTACATGTAAAATTTAGAAGTTCTTGACATTCATGAACGTAAGTCACGTATGCATGGACGAATAGTGGGGTAATTCGTGTTGTTCCTTAAACTCTATATGTCGCTTTCTTTTCAATCTTTATTTTGAATTTTGTCACGAAGAAAATATGCTCTTAAAGAATCTAAATGGTCCATGTTGGGGACCTCAGCGACTTTTAGGGCAATCGCCGGCCTAGTGTAGAAGCTATAAATAGCCAAACAAGCACAATGTTTATATAGGATGAAATTGTTCCTTTGTAAATTTTACGAATGAATTCAACGAATTAAAATATTATCAATGTAGTAACATTGTAAATACATACTAAATATGCCATTTATATATTCAATTAATTATTGATACTAAATAGGAATGGTGAAACCTATTACAAGTTGAAGCACTTAATTTTAATTAAAGCATGAAGTAAAAAGCACTTAAAAAATAAATATAGTGCACTAAATGAGTAACTAAGATGTATTATAGGTAGTGTTCTCAATAGCGTAAAAAAGCATGGTCGAACTTAGGCGAAGCCTAGACATTAAAAAGTGTAAAAAAACGATTTCTTATTTTAATATTATTTAAATAATTTAAATCAATATAAAAAATAATTTAATAATTAAAATAAAAAAAAAACGTTGAAAAGCGTAAAAAATGTAAAAGCATGAAAAAGCGCGCTAGGCAGACCTAGGCAAAAAATCAACATTATTAGGTACTAAACATTTTTTTAAGGGTACGTCTTAGTATTAACGTATTGAAGGAATATAAGTGGATGGCACAAATTCTAAGCTTTTAATTTATTCTTTCTTCTTTTAATGTTATTCCACTACGTCCTAGCGAATAAAGCCATAATAAACTCGAAAATGAAGTGAGAAGTTCATGTGGTTTTTTGTTAAATTATTAAATGAGCCCAATAATTCATTTTTGGCGTCTCCTCCATGAGTCCAATAATTTAGTTTAGTAAAATTATTTTAAATAATAACTTTATATGTATTGAAGATTTTTCATCACAATTTATAATATCTTGAACCAGTTTATTGAAAAATGTCAAGATTTTCTTTCACCCAATTCTTTTAAGGGGTCAATTTTGAAATTGAAAAAACTTTTAAGTAAGAAAAGTTTATTCGGCATGGTTTGTATCAAGTAAATATTTTTAAGTTTTTCCAATGTTTTTCATCCGAGTCATGTTTACCAACTTTTCGCAAAACGTAATCAGATAAATACAAAAGAATATTTTGTAGCAAGTTCATCATATTCTTTCTTCTGGTCTTCATTCATAGTGGCAGAATACGATTTATCAGTAACTTTTGAAACCTTTTGTTGTACCAAAATTCCATTCATCTTTCATTCTCAAATAGAAAAATCATATTCATCGTTAAAGATGCCTAAATCAAAATGATGCATAGATATCTTAACAAATATGACACATAGCACTGAAGCAACTTACAAAAAAATAACCATATAGAATACGTCCAAAAGGTCATAGATATACGATGATCTAAACTCTCACAAATTCGTGAGACTCGCGATCTCAATTTTAAGGGAATTTTCGGGCAGGTAAAATCAAGGTAACATTTCTAACCAAATATTAGCAACAATAATGGGATTGTACAATAGTCAAAAAATATCCAAATCACAATTATAACGCAAGTAATAAGTAATCTTAATTTCTAGCAATAGACAATGATTATCACACACGATAACCCCAAATCTTATTGGTCATCTCACACGATAACTTGCTATTGCAGAAATTTAAAGAGTAGCAATTAATTTGGACCTATTTGTGATCCGTACAAATGAGAGATGCAAAATTTAATCAAGGATCAAGTTCTTATTGCAAAATCAGCATACACACGCTTCAATTACACCATGAACACACGTTCAATTTATAGCAGATTAATTTTCAGCCACATGAATCGAATTTCAGCAGTCACAGAAGCCAAAAGAGGCTCTGATACCAATTTGCAGTGAAAATCATATCATTCAATGATTAAAACAGCACTAAGTTAGTTCCAAAACAATGAATAATAGGAGAATTAATTGCTATATATGTAAGACAAAAACTCTCCTGTCGATTTCAAAGGATTTGGCGCCAAAAGTAAATTATAAAGGGCTCAAATTACAAGCCCAAAACACACAAAACAGCACCACACGAAGGAACCAAGAACCCCACTAAAAACCCACCCAAGAATCACACAAAGAATAGCCGCACACAAAGGTAGCAGCGAACAGGGAAAAACAGCGCAAACAGGGTCTCATTCTTGGGCCCAGACACTGAGCAAAGTGCCGACAGAGAGAGGAGGATATAGGTCAACACGGAGGAGCCAAAGTCCGGCTGACGGGAGGAAGCACAAGCACCAGCCTCTCGTTTTCTCTTTAAAAAGGGCTTTAGAATATAGGGCTTGTTTGACAGAGATTAAAATCAGATTAAAATTGAAAAATTAGCCGTAATTGTTGACTTTTATTAGACGAGTGAGACTCAATAACAACTATATTTTCAATTTTAATTGGATTTTAATTGCTACCAAACAAGCTCATAGTTTTGTGTACGCGGGTATTAAGAAAAGGGTTTGCTACTGGCCGTGTACCTGACCCCACTCCCCCCGCCCCTTCACAACGGCGGGAGGTGCCCATTATTTTATTAGGGATGTGCTAGACAAATCCATTTTATTAATGGACGGCTCCCTCATTGTGAGGGGGGCAATGGGGTCGTGTACCCGGACATGTAAACACCTGGGTACATTTAGCAAAACCCATAAGAAAAAGGGGGCCCGAATTAGAACGGGAAAACCCCGAATCAGAAAACCCTCGAGAAACCTCTGTCCTTGACTTCGACTTCGACTCTGACTCTCCAATGTTCTTGTAGAGAGAACCCCACCCACCAATTTAATGCTGTTACGTTTTTGTAGTTTTAACGAGAGTTTCCCATTTGGATGATTGGGTGATTTTGGAGGGTGAATCTTGAGCGAAAATCTTTTCTTGCGCTGTAAATCCACGATTTTTGGTAAATCATTGTTGATATTAGGTCGATTTTATCCATGATCCAAGTAGGTAAATTAATATCATGAATCCAAGTCATCCAAAAGAAAATCTAGGAGTATGGAATGAAATTCAAACTTGAAGAATTACACTCATATGAGTTTGAAGGTAACATTGAATACACTTTGTTTTTGAGGTTGAACTTTGAATTTGAGTAGTTTTTTCGTTCATTTATTTTTGATTGGCCCGCCCACAGCCAACGGTTCTGGTGTTTATATCAATTTAAAATGGTTACGTAACTTATGTTTTTAGAACAAATTCACTTATATGGAGTTGAAGGTAATATTGAATAAACTTTGTTTTTGAGGTTGAACTTTGAATTTGAGTAGTTTTTTCGTTCATTTATATTTGAAGCAAGTTTGGGCATAGACTGTGATGAGTTTGTGAATAAATGAATAAAAAATTTGTCGTTGAATTTGGGATTAGCTCCAAAATTATGGCAAACTATTTCCTTTTGATTTTCTAAGATACCATCAAAATGTTTGACAAAATGTCTCAATTGGAAATGTTGTTTTTGTTGTAGTGAGAGGGTTTGTAGCAGAATTGCTTGCTTACTCTATGCTCTTTTTGCATCAGATGGAACTTCCTATCTCGGCCAACCACGCCTTAGCCGGAGCCGTAATAGGGATTGAGTTTCCTCGGGGACTTAATAGCATAGGAGCAGTAATTGTACGAGATATTGCCACTTCTTGGGCTGTGACAATTCCTAGCAAGGCAAAAACTAACCCAAACCCTCCAGACTATAACAAAAATGATAATACTTAGATATCAATATTTTGTATCACCCCATTATTCGAAGAAAAATCTTATCGAATATGAATACCTACTAACATAAATTAAAATATAAACAAAATGATGTGCTTATTAAAGTACTCCAGCTACTCACAAACTACTTGTATCGAATTTGAACATGTTTGGCTAAACCTAGATATTTATAACTAAATTTACTCGCAAGTGAACTTTTTAAACTTAGGGCACATGCTATAATTCTCATTAAAAATAGCGCAAATCGAGCAACCCAAGCTTGATCGATTTAAGTTTAAACCAAGAGTAATGTTATTTGTATATAATTGTATATATAATGATATACATAATGATGAGATGAAAGAGAGAGCAAGAGAATAAATAAAGATGAAGAGAAAATAAATTCAATTATTCTAATCTTTCTCTCACTTCCACGTCATCATTATGTACATCATTATATACTAATAACATTGTTCTTAAACCAATAATTGGATTAAATTGATTTGATTTTAGATCAAATCGACCATATTAAATTGTGTTTAGATTGAATAAAAAATCGTCTCAACCTAACACACGCCCAGCCCTAGTGACAATTCCAGCTGGTGTTTATCTTTACTGTTGTTCACACAAAAGCTAAACCAAGATCTAGATACACTGTGAATGGACATTAAATGTAAACTTATGCAGTTCTGTACTTCTTGTCTATTTGCCTTGTAATATAGTAACTAAATTATTAAAACATTAATGACTCTATTTTTAAAGAGGATATTTTACAATTTAGAGAGAGAATTTTTGAATACTCCAACACGTTATTTATCTTTAACACTTCATTTTACTATTCTTAAAAGGTATTTTTTTAAATTTTTTCCTATCTTTTATTTTCGCTAACTTCCCTCCAAATTATTATATTATTTTCTTTTATTGAAAATTGAAATATTTTGAATATATTTAATATAGAGATTGACACTCTATTTTAATCAGTGTTATAAAAAGTGTGAAGTGGGGCGAAGCAGGGTCAAGCTTCAATCTAGGAGCAGAAAAATGTTTTCTTATTTTAACATTATTTTAAATTTTTAAATCAATCTAAAAATTATTTAATGATTAAAGAAAAAAGCATTAAGTGTAAAAATGCGTTAAAGCGTAAAAAAAACACACCTAGACCTAGGCAGAAAAAAAAGAGCGCAACAGCGTGAGGCAAAGCGTTTTGAAACCACTTCACGTCTAAGCACCAATTTTTAGAACATTGATTTTCATATGTTATTTGAAGGGTTTCTTATAACATAATTTTAGGAGTTAACTTTTTAAAATAGAGAGCATCTTTTGCTTAAAACTCTCTTGGTATGCAGTTAGCAACTCCAAACATAGTACTGACAATTAGAAACTCCAAAACATGGTACTAAGTAATAGTTAACAACAAACTCACGAAAAATGTTAAACAAGATGGCTCGTGCGAAATCAAAATTGGATTCAACAATCCAGGAACCAATGAAATCTGCAAAAGATGAAATTAAAGAGAATTGGATATACGAATGATGTTAGACCACATGATCAAAATTTGCTTATTGTCGCACTCAATTGCACAACTTTTTTATTCTCACGTAGAATCCTCAATCTTTAATTAATAAGAATGTGACGAAAAAAAAAGATATAATGCGACAATAAGCAAATGTCAGGAATCATTGCAATTAATCGTAGCGTAACAAATAAAATATTCAACGTGAATATAACTACCCTAATTTTTTCAAACAAAAGCAACAAACTCAGTGCCGGCGGCTAACTATAAATAAGGAACCAAAACCTAATTCTCACCTTAATAAGAAATGCACTCTGTGTCCTTAACTCCTAGTAACAAACTAAATCAATGCCTTGCCCCATTTACTTCTCTGTTTAATTATTTTTTTTTATAAAATTTTTGATGATTTATTTTATTGCCCCCATTCATTAGATTATGACAAATAATTTTCATTGTCATTTTCTATTAGAACTAGTGAAATTTTCCATTTAAAGTATTGAATTCTAAAACAATATAAAAAAAAAATTAAACGGGGGGAGAGGGTTGAGAAGAGTGAAAATACCGGTGTCAGTACCGTCTCTTTGGCCATCAACACCGCCGCAAAGTGCAAGCCGTAAAGGATGGCAAATATGCAAGTGTCAGTACGCACTGGCTTTAACAGTTTCACCATTTCCACATCCTTTTCAAGAAGAAATTTTCTCAAGTTTCATGTTCGTTATTGAATTCATGAAATGAACTTAGCCCGTGTTCGACAACCACTAAAATAAAATTCTTTTTTTCTCAAACTCATCATACCATTCATCGATCATCACATTAGAAGCCATATTTGGGTGCATAGAGTTTGTTCTGTGTCCTTGTGTGATCAAGGCCAATCATATAGCGATTCAACCTAACTTTTATAGATTCCACTAAAGGAGATACATGGTATTTCATATTTATATCACTTTCCCAATCTGTGCCCCAAAAAAAGAAAAAAAAAATCAATTATGAAAAAATGTTTTGATCAAACAAAACGTTCTACATTCATCCATTCATGGCGTGCACTATTAAATAGGACCCAAGAGTACACAAACAAAATTTTAGCTTCTTTTTCCTTCTAGTGGACTGTTGAACGGTACACAGTTCTCTCTACGAAACAAGACAATAAGTTCCAACACATCAAATTAAAGTTAAAATATAAAACTATAATATGCTCAACATAATCCATATTTCTACATAATAGTGATTACTGATGTGATGCTGCAAAAATCCATAAAACAATGAATTGAATCAATAGGTTCAACCATTGTGTTCACTGGGGGTTTGGCTTAATCCCACTGCAGCAGAAGAAGTGTGGCAGCTTAACTTGACCGCAGACCCTGCCAAAATATAGTGTCTATTATTTATGATAAGTGACGAAGAACACGCTTTCTTTGGTTTATTCAAGGTTATGGCAAACCCTGTTAAGATTTAATTCTTAAAAGGCAACAAATACTGTATAACATATTACAAGCCTCTAAAGATTGATTCTTCCCATCAATTCATCTGAGAGAATGTGTGCTATTCAACACATCCATCGCATTCAATACAAAAAAGTGTAATTTGCTAGGCAAGCCAAGTACAAAGTCTCCATGTTATCATCACGAATGGTTTCCCTTTGTACGTTTTATAAAGTGTGCAATAATTTACCAATCAAATTTTATAATTTAACACTTGAAAATTCCACACTGCATAATCATGACGAGACAGAATTATCAAATTAACACTTGAGAACACCTTCCATAGACTTTGCCAATTTGGACATGAGGCAGCCATTTCTTGTTAAGGATTTGGTTCAGACAGTAAAATATAAAAAGGTTTTCTTCAAATAGATTCCTAGGTAAAAAGTTTTTCTTGCACTGAAATTAAATTATATAAAAAAAAGGGGTTTGCAAATTAACATAATGTAGGAATTGCAAGCAAAACCCTTACTTGCAACGGATGATCACTGGGACAGGTTTCAAAGCCTTCGGTCCATTCCTAATGCCTCTCTTGTGTGGAGAAACCTGCACGAAGCATTTGGCAATGAGTACTCAAAGTGTAGAAGGAATGCACTAACATGTCACCAAATAATTAACTGGCATGGAACTTTTGGGCCTAACATTGGTGATCTTATTCAAATATGCGAAGGTTAACAGATAAAAGAAGAACAGAATGCAATAATCTCCATTGACACGAGATTGATTATATATTTATAGAGAAGCACCAAAGGAACATGCACGCAGTAACGTTGGCAAGAGCATGACCATATAAATGATACCAGACTATGATGCACCGACACAGAAACGTATGTCAGACACGCGATTTTTTTAAAAAGTACTGACACACACATCGCCGACACATTGATTAAATCCTTTAAAATTCTTCATTTACATGGTATACATTTAATTCCATACTTGTTATTAATTTTTCTTATTGAAATCTTTTAAATATGAGTACCTATTCGTTATTTACTAATAACTTTAAGTTAAAAATAAATAATATTTTTAATAAAAAATGAAAAATGTTTATGGTTGAGTATTCGATGAGTGTCAGTATCGACAAGTGTCAGACATGAACACGTTACTCTAGTTGAAGTGTCTGTTTTCCAGAGATACTAGATACCCCCCTATGCATTTATTTGCTTCATAATCGATCTTATTCCCAAAAGGATTATTCCCGAACCAGACGATGGAAAGGTACGAGAGAGACAGAACTTTTCTGTGTGCTTCCTTGCCCAACTTTGTTCCCTTTTACAGTACCTTCTTTGGGTTTTCTATGATTCTCCTTTCCCACCAAAAGGTGAAAGTAGTGGATTTGGTAATTTAGACTCACTGAACAAAGTTCAGCCTAAAGATGATGAGATGCCCTTACGCATTTATTTCTAGAATAAGAGAACTGTTGTTGGTGAGGATATTTTTGCACGAATTCTTTCGGTTTTCACAATACTTTTGGACCCACCCTAACTCTCTGAGTATGCAACTTGCCAACAATCTAGTGGGTGCTCTAAACTGCAAGGCTCTCCAATGCACCAAAAACTATCTATATAAAATTTCCTATACCACCTCTATATACAGATTTTCATTGAAGCCATTGGGTCGTGGACACGTTATTCCTCAGGGACATGAAAAACAGAAACCTCGGCACAATAACAGATAACTGCAGTCGTATTCTACGAGACAATCAAGTATTCGAACAGCTCATAGCATAACTTAAAAAACTACTGAATTTGCAACGAGCAAAGTGCAACACAAACGTTTCCTTCAAAATTTCTTCACAATCCAACATTTCCAAACACAGCACTTAACTTAATAAATTACAAATTGAAGAAAATACAAATCAATACAACGGGCAATCTGAAAACCGCCTTCAATAAATACAATTTACTAAACCCTAAACCCTTTGCGAAAAATTGAGTCTTTGGAAGAAACTACGAAATTACCTTTCTTTTGGGCACAGCCATAAGCTCCATTGGGCCACCGAAAATTGCACAATTCGGGAATGCGTCTCCGATGCCGTTGTTGTTTTGATGTTCTTGCAAAACCAACGGCGGTGATGTGTCGATCGAGTGGGCGACAGCGGTATCAAGCGGCGGTGGCTGGGCTATTGAATGGGTCCACCGGCAGAGACTCACTAAAGTATACCCCTTGCTCGAGGAGGCGCATTTCAGCATCGGTACCCTTAACGCCATTTAGTTTCTGTTATTCTACGGTTGAGATCTGTACTGAGTGTATGTGAGAAATTTCAGCTGGAGAGTAATGGAAAAGAGAGAAGAAATGGGCCATTTCATTGTGCCCGCCCCGGCTGTGGGCCAATGGTTTGGGATAAATGGAAATTACACAAAATCAGAATTTTAAAAATTCAATTTCAAAAATAAGATATAAAATTTATTTATACAAAACTCAAATATTAATTCAAATCGTCAATACTACTCAAACCTTAAAATCCCAAAGTCTCAAATAATTACCCAATCTTCATTCTCTCTCTCCCTCCCTCGTCGACGACTTCAACGTCAACAGGTAAAAGAAAGCCTGCTCCGACGACCAACTAGTAAGCTGCACATGATCGGCAACGATGCCTCGCGCGGCGTCGTGACGTTCACGCACCTGTGTTGTCGCTACTCTCTCTCCTCTCCTCCCCTCCTCCATTTTCTTTATGTCGCGACGTGTGGCTATGTAAATGGTGTTGGTGGTGGTGCGTTGGGGGCAGGCAGTGGATCTATGGTGAGGTGGTGGTTGGGTGTGGTGTAAATGAAGATAGAGAAGATGGTGGTGGTTGTGATGTTGGCGCGGCGTCGAGACTGGTGGCCGACGTTGCAGATCTTTCGTTACAGGCAGCCATTTTATATCTGGTTTTCTTTTTTTTTTTTTGTGTTTACGGTTGTTGGTGGTGGCTGTGGTGGTGCTAATTTTGGCAGTTGATGGTGGTGGTGTTAGCAGTGGTGGTGAGTTGGTGGTGGTCGTGGTGCGAAATCGTGGGTGCTGTGGTGGCGGTGCCGGTTTGGGGATTTTTTAGTGGGATTGGTGGTTGCGGTGTGGTTGAGATGAAGATAGAGGAGATTTTAGTTGTGGTGGCGGTTGTGATAGAGATGGTGGTGGCAGCGGCAATGATGGTAGGGTTCGGGATTTTTTTGGGTTGTAGGATAGGGGTGGTGGTGGAGTTCTGTTTAGTTTTAGTGGTGGTGGTGCGGTGGTTGTGGGTGGGTAGTGGTGGTCGTGGTGATGTCGATATATTTAGACGATGGTTTGCTGTCGGGAGGTGGTGGTGGTTCCGATGACAGGATTTCGGTTGCCATACTGTTGGTGGCAGTGGTGAGGTTGTAGTCACGAGGAAAACGAAGAGAGCCAGACTTTCAGGAGAATGCTTGTCTTGCCGATCTAGTAAGTATTGTTAGCATTCTTTCCAGTAGCCTCTCTGTTTGGTGAGAATTGGTGCAATCATTTGATGATTTTGAATGTTGTAAGTCACGGTGATTGAATTCCATCCACATGTATATGTTTAATTTGCCTTCCAAAAGAATCCACTAATTATTTATGGACCTGTATAGGAATTGTTCTTATATTTACCATGTCAACTGATTATTTATTCGTAAAATGCGAGTGCGACAGTGAGTATGGTTGTCAATGGTGGATGAGTTTTTCCTAATAATTGGATGAATCTAACTACAATCGAAAATTGAGGTTGTGCAATTGTGATTGGAATTGAGGATTTGTGGTTCATCACAAGGGGATTGGATGGGTTTCGATGAACCTTTCATCCTTGAATTTTCAAATTGAAGGATCTGTTGACTAGGGAATTTGTTGAGGAGAGATCTGCCGACTGGGGAATTTGTGTAGATGGAAAAAAAAATTATCATTATTTATAAAAGGGAAAATTGCAGCGAAGGTTCCAAACCTTTCATTTTACTGCAGATTATACCACAACCTTTCATTTTCACGGTTGCAGTCCCAAACCTTTATATTTAACTGCAGCATTGTCCAAATCACCGATTCCGTCCATGATACCGTTAGTCAACAGTGAAACTGCAATTTTGACTTAAATGGACAAATTATATAAGGGACAAAATGGTATAATTACAATTTCCATAATAAAATAATTAGAATAATTAAATTAAAAAAATTGGTTTGTTCTGTTCATCTTCCCCAACATTCCCACCTCTTCCCTTAACCCAAACAAAATCAAACTTCCAGCCTTAATCATTATCGCCACGACCACTGCATAGCACCACCGTCAAAATCCCCTACTCACGACCACTGCATAAAACTAAGTAAGATGTATCATCTGCCTTTTCTTCCTCAATAGCCGCAAACACAAATTAGTACAATCTGCTGGTGAAATTGCGGTCGAACTCACTTGGGATTCTTGCTGCTTAGAAACATTAGCATTTAATGCTTTGTTACTAGGTCCAAGAATTTGTGATTGTACAACTGATGTTTCAACTTGAGCACTAGATATTGCACGCTCCACCATGTATCCTCGCTCAGTTATACCACTCGATGAGTCAAGAATATGAAAAGTCATCTTTTTTTTATTTCAAAGCTCACACTTCCATCGGAACTTGACATTGATAGTGTAAATCTATTCGAAGATTCATTATCAGTGCCACGAGGAAGTTCCTGCTAGTCTCCAAATGTATCTATTCCACCGGATTTATCAACAACTATATTGGGGCTATTTAAATTAGAAACACCAAATGGTGAAGTCTCTTTTGTATATATTCTCTTCTGATAATTGACGATTTCAAGAACAAATATTGATGATGCCTTTGCCAAAAACCTCGGTGGCAGTTGCGGTGATGATAGGGTGGGATTTTGATTTAGTTTGGGTTGAGGGGAGGGGAGGGGCATATGGGTAGGGAGATTGGAGAAGACGAACAGTACTTTTATTTTTTTTATTTAATTATTCTAATTATTTTATTATGAAAATTCAGTGATTTGGACCACATCTGCAGTTAAATATAAAGGTTTGGAACTGCGACTGTAAAAATGAAAGATTATGGTATAATCTACAGCAAAATGAAAGATTTGGAACCTCCGCTTCAATTTTCCCTTCATAAAATGATTGTTGAAATCTTTTGTAAGTTTGGTAAATGTGACATTGTAAAGTTAAAGAATTGTAGTTGTGTATTTTCCCCTAATTACACCATAGATATTTTAAGTTACTTCACATTGTTTTTATTGTCGTTTGATGTAGATTTTTAGATAATAAGTTGATAAAAGTTGGTGAATGGTATAAAAAGTGTTGTTAGAAAGTGAATAAAAGTTGTGGGTGAAATTATATGTATGACTAAATCATTTTTTTAGCAAAAGTAACTTTATCAAGCAAGCACTTAATTTAAATCAGTACACAATGGGGGAAAAAAAATCAAATCTTGAAATTCAAAACCTAGAAGATACACGTCAACCAATTTAAATTAAAACTTGTTTGAATCCCATTGTTGTTAGTGGCGGATCTAGCACCCGACGAGCATCGAGGCCATGCGTGCTAGATGCGCCGGAACCTTTTTTTTTTTTTTTTTTTNTTTTTTTTTTTTTTTGAGAATAGATAAAATTTTTAGATTATATATCTGGTAATTCATTTTTTTTTTCAACATTTTTTATAGCTTAGTTGGTTAGAGCATTCAAATCGGAAGTTTAAGGATCGAATCTCTTCTATACCAATTTATTGTGCAATTTTTTTAGTTCTATAATTTTGCCAAAACAAATGTAATAAGGAGGAGATTCGAACCTATGAGAACTCTTTTTAAGATTATTGAAAGCTTGACTGTCATGACATTCATTGAATTTTGACACTAAATGTAACAAAATAATGTGTTAAGTTTTTAGCGGTTTTAATGCAATTGAAAATATTTGTACATTTGCTCTTCCTTTGAATTATACAAAAATTGGCAACTATGTCATTCGATGAATATTCTTGATATATATAACAGAATTATATATGTTTGGTTTTAGCAAATAAATTGTTATATTTAATTTTTAATATATTATTGCACACGATAGTCAATGATCGTCTGTGTTCATTTAAAATCCTGGATTTGCCACTGATTGTTGTAAAAAAAAAAAAGCATTTTTGAATATTGTATTGATAGAAAATGTGCGGTTAAAAAATAAAGGAAAATTTTGATATTCATATAATATTATATTATTGAAAAATGTGTGATTGAAATGATGTCAAAATACTATTCAAGAATACATTTTTCAAAAAAATGGGGGCTCAAACAAAGGTTAAATTTGCACAATTTGAAATTCAAACCTAGAAGATACACGTCAGCCTATGGGCCTTTAACATATTAAAGATAATAATCACAGTTTTTTGGAAAAATGTAATCTTGAATTATATGACTAGTGTGTCGCCATAAAGATTCCAGCACAATAATTCTCAACACATTACATGGCCAATCAAAATTCTGCATTCAATAAACTTCCAATTGTTGTAGTGATGAATGTGTAGAGTTATAAAAAAATTCCAAAATAATTCATAACATCAAGTAGCATTATTGAGATCTTTGGTGATGAATGAACAAAAGAAACTTCATAGGGAGGCCCGCACAACAGTCTATTAGCTTAGGGCTCTGCTTTTGCAATTGGGTTGTCATATGGATTCTCCAATTGAGTTCATTTATTCAGTGTTCTAAAAAGCGCGCATAGACGTCGCCTAAGCGAGAAGCATGATGAAAACGCTTCGTGAGCCCAAGCGGGAATTAAGTGGTCAACGACAATGTTGACCGCTTAATGCTCGCATAGGTGTTCCTAGGCGTGCCTCGTTGACTGCATAATGCTCGCCTAGGCGTGCCTTCGCCATGTTTTTTTTTTTTGGTAGATGCACACCAAGAAAATGAATAGACTTAAAACTATGAGGACGAACAATCTTGTTTATGTCCAATTTAATGCAAGGTTGATGAACAAGAAGAAGAGAAATGCCAAAATAGAGACTTTACTAGCAAGTGATGCTACTAATGCACAATCTTGAATTGTAGAGAGTTATGATGATGAGGGTGAGGATGAGAATGATATATTACAACCTACAAGAGGTACAAGAAATGATCAAAATGAAATAAGGGAGCTCGAGAATGATGATTTTGTATTGGACGATACGGATGACGAATTAGATGAAGAAGAAGATATTGAATTGGAATCTGATAAAAAGTTAGATTAGATAAGATTTAGGGTACAA